GAAAAAGGAAATAAATATTAACAATTGTTTGAAAATAAGAAAATATTCATAATTGACTAAAACAGAAAAAAAAATGGTCAGATCATTGCATTTTAATTTTTCACAATAATATTACACAGTATAATACATCAAATCACAAGTATGTCATAAATTTTACACAATTTTAAACAATAGAATAGAAATATTTCAATAATAATATTCTACACTATCAAGTAAAGGTAAATTAAAAATGAAAAGGAAATACTTCAATAATAATATTCTACATCATCAATACTAAAGACATATTTTAAACAATAGTAAAGGTAAATTAAAAATGTAGCGAAAATTAAAAATGAAATGGAAATATTGAAATAATAATATTCTAAATCATCAATTAAAAATGAAACGAAAATTTGGTAAAAATATCATTGCATTTGATATTTTAGTTCGCTAATTGATTAATTGACTAAAAATAAAAGAGAAGTAATTGGATGAAAATAAATATGATATTACTAATGGATTGAAAATTTAAAAGGAAATGAATACTAATAATTGACTGCAAATAAAAAATTATTCATAATTGACTAATATGAAAAAAATAAATGGTTAAATCATTGCATTTTAATTAAAATGGAAGGGAAACTAAAATTGAACGCCAATATTTCAATAATAATATTCTACATCATAAATAGTAAGTGCATGTTTTAAACAATAGTAAAGGTAAATTACAAATGGAACAGAAATATTTCAATAATAATATTATACATCCTCAATTAAAAATGGAACACAAATTAGGTGAAAATATCACTCCATGTAATATTCTAATTGACTAAAAATACAAAAGAATAATTGACTGGAAATGAATATGATATTACTAATTTATTTAAAATATAAAAGGATCGCTAATTGACTAATATTATACCATTATATATTTTCACCGAATCACCCATCCTGATCAATTGAAGGTGTTAGCTCTAGACAATGATGGACAAGATTGTGTTGCTACTACCAATGTCGTCTACAAAGAGGTTTCAACAATGTGTAAATAAAATCGTTGATATTATATTTTTTAAATGACAAAATTGTTATATGTATAAACAAAAAAAATATCCTCCATACAAATGAATTAAGATAACAATTCATTCATATAACTGAGTTGCTAGAGAATGAACACATTTGTATAATTTATAAAAAAAATACTAAACAATGATAAAAAAAAAAATCTCCAAAGTTATAACACTACATGCATACATCTACACATTAGCTATTAATTTGAGCAATTATTTGCTTAAATTCATACAATGATAATATAAAAACACATAAATGATCCAACCCGTATATTCAATTGAACTATATAATATTTGATGTTCTAATTTAAATAATTATATATCGATCGAAATATTCTTAATATATTACAACAAATTTATTCCGTGCATCGCACGAGCGCAAATACTAGTAGAAATAAAACAAACATAGGGATATGGATAATAATTCTGAGAATAATAATTAATGTGATAAGTTAATTTGATTGTTTCAATACAATAGTTCATGACACAAACAGATTGCACATGTATACTGTAGTACTGACTACACTTCCTAGAATTTGTTTGAGACTAAATTTATTAACAAAAAATGGCATATAAATAGTCATTTTGAGTTTGTTTTTTTTTTTTTAGAGTGGGATTAATTTTTTATTTGAGATGGGTCAAAATGATTTTTTTTCCATTCGCTCCGAGAGACTAGGAGCTGGCCTGGGGCGAATCGTCACTTTTGGGAATCGAATTCGGGTTACCTTAAAATTCTTCTCACAAAGAGAGCTCATTTACCATTTAAACTACCACTCCGAATTTGGGTTAAAATGCTTTGATTTTCCTAGTTGAGATGATGAATTTTGTATACTTTTACACTCAAAACGATTTTTTTTTTGTTTTTTTTTTTTTTTTTAGAAATCACTCAAAATAGATTATGGATGAATAAGAAGTATACCTATTAAGTTGGAAAAAGGGGCTTGGAAAAGTTTTAAAATAACATTTGTTCTACGACTGAATGTGAGTGTTCTCTAGTCTAGTCCAGTATAGATACATTTCAATTTTTTAAAGAGTTTAAAATGTATTGTTAGTGTGGACATTATTGTGTAACGGTCATATTTAGACAAATAATGTTGTGCATCTGTGTGCACCATGCATGGTGCATACGGATGCAAAAACGATGTCGTTTTGACTAAAAATGCGCGTCCAACTTAAGAAAAAAAAATCAGTTTCGATTCCCGTCAACAACATTATGTTGTGGATAATTTCTGAATGTATAGTTATGAAATTATGGATGTATAGTTATGCAATTCTTGATTTATAGTTATGAAATTATGGATGTGTAGTTATGCAATTTTGAATGTATAATTATGAAGTTATTCAATTCTGGATTTATAGTTATAAAGTTATGGATGTGTAGTTATGCAATTCTGGATGTATAGTAATGGAGTTATGGATGTGTAGTTATGAAATTCTGGATGTATAGTTATGCAATTCTGGATGTATAGTTATGAAATTCTGGATGTGTAGTTATGCAATTCTGATTTTATTTTTTTTAAGTCGACATCAAAACAACGTCGTTTTTGCATCCGCATGCACAGATGCACAGCATAACGATCAGCGTATTTTTGTCTCCATTATTGTTTTCCGTTATGATTGTAATTATTATATATATCCAAATGTATTATGTAGTGTAATAGAGAGAATGTTGGAATAAAATCTTTGGTGACACTTTGCCTCTTTTCTTTCCCTGTATTTTGTCTCTCTCGTTTACCATATGATAAACCCTTTCACCGAGGAGCGTTGCGAGCTAAAGAGAGCAATTAATAACGGTTTAAAAGAATCAATTACAACATATAAACCAAATGTAATGAATGTTTGTTTCAAAAATTGACTGAATCTATAAATTGCTATTAAATTAATTTTTGAGAAATTAGTTTCCGAATTTCCATTACAGGGCGTTTGGTTGGAGGGATTTTAAATTCCCTTCCCACTTAATTTCCACCTAATTCCAAAGGCCATTAAATTCCATAGTTTGGTTGGAGGGAATTGCAATTCCATGGAATTGCAATTCCCCCATTTTCATGGAATTAAAATCCCATGTCCCCCCCTGGTATTTTAATTCCTAGGAAAAAAAGATAGTGATGAGTCAAAATTACCCCTTCCTTTTTTAACCTAAAATTAATGTCTAACAACAATAATGGACATTTTTGACTTTATACTACTTATTCCCTTTCAATTCCCATGTATACCAAACATTGGAATTGAAATTCCCAGTAATTCTATTCCTATCAACCAAACACTGGAATTTAAATTCCCACTTTATTCTCAGTAATTCAACTCCCATGGAATTACAATTCCTTTCCCACATAATTCCCCCCCTCCAACCAAACGCCTTGTTAGTAGTATTTTCTTTAGGAATTATTTTTGTATACAAAAAAAAAAAAAAAAAAAAAGAAGGTTCTCCTGGATTTGGATCAGAAGGTGGTCATGATAATTCTTGGTGACCATGGCCACCCGTGGTTCTTGTTGATTCAATTCAGTGGCCACATCAAGAACCATGGCCACTGTCCAATGGCAATGGTTTCCTCTTTCCAATGTTCCATTTAGGCCATGGGGGTGGAGGTAAAGTAAATACCATTTCTTGCTTTACTTTGGGGGTGGGATTTTGAATAACATCACAAATGTCACAAAATATTGCATGGAAGAAGACAACTACAAACTCATTAAAGTGATTTCGTCACATCTGCAGCACAGGATGAAGAGTCAGTCAAAGGAAAACTCAAAATGGGTTCCTAACAAGAGAGACTCATTGGTTAACATATTAATCTGCCCATAAGAAACATATGGCTCAGTTTTTGAATCCTAAGCATAGGTTATTGGGAATTGTTTGTTCCTCTTAACTTTTTAATCATACCAATAAAGAAAATTTTTATCATAATCACCAACCACACTGTTCAATTGCTTTTCTCACTCCCCCAATAATTAACATTAGGAATCCCATTCCTTTAGGCATTGGCCCACTGGTTAGGCAATTGCGAGTAATTGGATGGCTTTAACCTAACTTTAGTGAGGGATTAAGATAGCCCAGAGATAAGATTCACATTATGCTGCCTGCCACTGGCGCCAACTACTTAGGCTCCCTACAAGTGGTGAAGTTGAATTGAAATGGTTAAGTTCCTATGAATATATTAATTATATTTGTGTCAAGTAAAATCTTAAAAATGGTAAAACATAGACTCATTGATTCTTGTATCAAAAATTACTGATTAAATTGGAAAAAAAAAAAAAAAAAAACTTGTAACATATAATCCAAACTCACATAAGTTTCCAATTAAAAATTTTAAAATTCGAATTAATGTAACTGTAATTCATTCAAATAGAATTTGAAAAGGGTGAACTAATGAAACGCTCTCCCTCCCAAGCATATCCTTTGACCATTTGGCAAATATTTCACAATACCGCATTAGTTAGGGATGTACCAAAAGCCATCAAAGTTTGGTGTCACAAATACAAGCTGAAGAAGAGAATTATTTAAGCTCTCAAACAAAAATGCGCACGTCCTCTAGTCAAACATTGTCCTGTCCTGGCATGTCAACAGTCTTCATCCTTCTATGTTCTAAAGTGTCCCCTTTTCTTTTTAATCATTTTTGTATCTGAACAAGTTTATCAAATCAATCATATAAGATGCTGTCCCAGCAAATAATAAGATTCTTACAACATAAGCTCACCAATCAAGGTTACTTCACCATATTCACAAGAAGCAAAGAATTGGCAGGTATAAGCAACATGGAGTAAGTTACTAAAAAGTGCAGTGTCTTGCATGCATAGAAACAGGCCAAAATCACCAAACATCTTGTGGTCAAGCAGCATAAGTGTGACTCTCCCAAATATGAGGTCACAGGTTCAAACCCTAGTAGTACTCAAAAAAAAAAAAAGAAAAAAAAAAGGCCAAAATCCAACCACACGTTTACTCAATATAATAGAGGAGAAGACAGCAGAGAAAATGGGTTCTTTTATTCATAATTCTTAGTTCCATCAGTACATGTATGGGGTGGATGGAAAGTGAAATTACATTGCAATGGAAGACCACAAGATCAACAGACTTGTGTACTAACCAAGTTCATTGAATGCGAATACTAACAAACACTACTAATCCTACAAGTACCTGTAAGCCCATCCCCTTCTCCTTTGATGATCTGTTAGATAGAAAGGTTTTTCTTGTATTTGTTGTCAGTTTCGAGCGTTACGTTACAGATCATTAGTCTACAACCTACCTCACTGCCCTAAGTTCTTTACAAGTAAAAGGATGACTAAAAAATGAAGTTTCCCTACCTCTCCCTAGTAAATGCAGGCAGGACAGGTCCAGGTCCAGATGGAATGGAACACTGACACACCTTTTAAGGGTTTACTTTCTCCCATTCAAAGCGTCCAGGAAGAGGCTTCTCATTCATTGGATCAAAGTTGTACCTGCATAATTTTTTTAGGGATACCTCAATTAATACGCGAACTGTTGTTATTGACAAATAGTTGAGGACAAAAGAAAAAACATAGTATCAAAGTAACATGGCAGATAAATAAAGTGGTACTTGTCAATAAATTTTCTATGTTGCTCCTCTTCTGCCCCAGCAAAAAATTCATTTATTTCATGTGTTGTTGGGATGTGTCTTCGCAATGAGTTATGCATTCTGCTGTTGGCTTCACTTGCACTGGTTGGCCTTGTACTGGAGCCAGGGGTTTGAGCGGCATCCGAATCTCTTATCAAACTGCAAGGTGTGCTTTCCCTAGTGGTCCTATCAGGAAGAGACAACTCGAACTCAACAGTGTTGTAAGGCCATAAACAGAACAGTTAGGTACTATGGAACATGAAAATAAAGAAAAGGACAGGTTAATATTGGTAAAATCCTCACATGATATCAGTAGCTAAAACATTTAAAACATCTAATATCTTTACAAGCTCACCAATAAAATAAACAAAATATTCATAAAAAGTATTCATCTGTCTCTTCAATAAAGAGAGAGATACCCCATAATCATTTTCAACACTGCATGTGCCAAGTAATCATTGCAACAGCACAACTTTAAGACTTAAACAAACCTATATGCACGTTTAATTTTATGAAGTAACAACAAAAGAAAAGTTTTTCACTCAAATACGATGGATGTCCAAGATCCACTGGTTTTTGAAACCTTGTGTCTTCCATAATTATCTCTTGTTCTTGTGTATTTCAACCAATTAAAGTTTTCTATTACAGAAAATAGATCGAATGCAAAACCATTAATTAACAAGTCTAAAGAACTATTCATAATGATTACAGCAAAATTATAATCTCACTGGATGATCAACATTAGCAAATGCAATATTTGTTTCCATTAAGAATTATGAAAAAGCTATAAAATATAAGAAACAAACTGCACAGAGAAGATCAATAAGTTGCAATTTATCATAATGATAAAAGTGGCAGACATTCAGACAACATTTTCAACGGCAGAAAAAGAAAATTAGAAGGAGCCATGAACAGAGAGGAAAAGCTGAACCAGAGAGGAAAAGAAAATTAAAGCGAACTGCAGAATTTGAAGTTATGATTTCCAAATTCTTAACACCAAAGACCCAAAATCTGATATGTGATAGTTGCAGATCATTCTTAAACAGAGCTCCTAGCATCAAAATTCTTTTTTTCCCCACCATTTTCAGCAACAAAAGCAAGCACATGTATATGTCTCCTTCTGGGTTTTACACTAGACATATCCTAATCCACGTTTAATATGCAAGGGAATTGCCTCCAAAGTTAAATCTAGCTGAGAAGCTGTGGGTTCACAATCTTGAATGGAAATAATTGCTCATATGTCTCTAAAGATTACAGTTACAAAGGTAACAGGAGTAGAATTTATTTGGAAGAAAGGGGGGAAAAGGGCACCATTTTTGTGGTAACCTTTCTTAAACAAAATACTCCGTATACCATTAGGGGGCGTTTGGTTCAAGTTATATTACATAACCAAGGAAATGTGACATTCCAGAGTTTACATTCCTATGTATGTTTGGTTCATATTATCTGAGGGAATATAACATTACAACATTCCTAGGGAATGGAACATTCCCTCCACATAGGGTTTTAAAGGGAATGTGATTCCCTTCACTTTCTTAGGTTATGTAAGATAACTTTGGATATTTATAAATTTTGCTATTTTAATTCTAATTATTTAAAAATATATATTTTATGTTAGCTTATTATATATATATATATATATATGGTTGGGAAATAATTAATGTTATAATTAATTACCAACATTATTATTATTACTAGCTATAAATATAAAATAGCCACAACATCTTTTACTATTAAAAAAAAAAAAAGCACAACATTTGAAAAATAAAATAGTTATTTTTTTTTTCTCGCCCATAACAAAGGATTACATTTATTGAATTAATGGAGTTATTAAATGTTATGATATTATGATTAAGGACTCCGATTCCCGATTAATAGAAAATATGAAACGATGCAATATTAGTTAAATCTCTGGCTTTACAATGAAAGTTTATTTGATATGCTTTTGTTATTTATGGTGGTTTTTGTGATTACAATATTAATTAAATTTTCGATGAAAGCCTGTTCAATATCTGAAACAGTGCAATTAATGCAAACCTCTACATATAATTTTCCTCCATCTCAAATGCTTCAAAGAAATGGCAGAAGCGAGAAGGGATGAAGAAAGCAAATGTTGCGGACCGTGGGTCAATTATTGGACTTCATAATTAAAAAAAATAATCATTTAAGCCATAAATAAAAATTTAAATATATATAAATGTATATATCGTATGGGTCTTTAATGTTTTTCTGGATGTCTAAACTTAGGATTTTTAAAAGAAAAAAAATATATTTGAATTATCTTCTGGATGTCTAAACTTAGGATTTTTAAAAGAAAAAAAATACATTTGAATTATCTCCACAAAAAGTGGTCTTGGACTTATAAAATGACATTTGAGTTTATGGAATGCCATGTGCATATAAAAGATAACCCTAAACCAAATATGATATATATTATAAACCTCAATTTTAACCAAACACAGGAATCTGACATTCTTAATAATCTAACATTCCAAGCAATATTTTTTTTTAGTATACCCAGGGTTTTCACCGTCGAACACATTGACTAATCCCTAGCTGAATTCTAGGGGCCTTTTTTGGGTGGGACAGTTGACCTGAAGACTTAAAGCTGTTCCATTCCCAAAGGCAAGGATCGAACCCTTGACTTTTGGTTAAAGATGAATGAGTCACCTACACTCAACCACACCCCTCCAGGTTATTCTCAGTAATCTAACATTCCCTAAGGGGATGTTTGGTTCAAAGGAAAACATTTTCCTTAAAGTGAAGGAAAATGTTGTTTTCTAGTGTTTGGTTCATGGAATTCATTTTCCATTAGAAAATGAATTCCTCAAATTTGAGGATATTGAACAGTTAGTTTTTCAGTTAGATTTTAGCTGTGCTGTTAGATCTTTTCTCAGTTTGTTATCTATTTCTCTGCTATCTTCTGTGTATAAATAACTGCAGCTTATTCATGAATAAAACACACAACTCATATTATTAATTTGGTATCAGTTAAGCCATTCGATCCTCATGGCCGATAACAATATTCCACCTGCTGCTAATGATGGCTCGTCCGGCGGTTCTACTGCAGTTGCCGCCGTCCCAGAGTCCAGATCGACGACCTTACTCCATCAGGCGCATCACCATGTATCGCTCAAACTCTCTTCATCGAATTACCTCTTCTGGAAAGCCCAGCTCGTGCCTTTCTTGCGCGGGCAGAACCTCTTCGGCTTTGTTGACGGTACGAATGAGTGTCCGCCGGCGATGGTGGCGTCTTCCTCGTCGACGACAACGCAGGTTGTGAATCCTCTTCATGCGATATGGGTGCAACAGGATCAGTCAATCCTGAGCATGCTTATATCCTCCATAGCTGACGAGGTACTGTATCTGTCCATAGGTCATGCAACCTCTCGATCAGTGTGGGTTGCCATCGAGACTGCCCTCGGTTCTTCCTCACGGGCTAGATCGTTGAGTTTGCTTACGCAACTCCAAAGCCTCAGGCAGGGGGAGTCGACGCCGGCAGAGTATCTCGGGAGAGCGCAAGTTCCTGTGGAACAACTCGCTCAGGCCGGGCGTCCGATCGGCCTCAACGAACAGAATCTCCATGTTTTCCGGGGGCTTCGACCGGAATACCGGAGTCTAGTAGCCTCCCTGACCACCAAAAGTGCACCACTGACCATTCACGAGGTAGCGGACCTGCTGGCCACTCATCAATATTTATTTCCAGACAAGTCCAGCTCTGTTCTATCTCCGTCACCTGCGGCCATGGTAGCCCAGCATCCGACTTCTACTTCTCAGCAACACCGTGGTCGCGGACGCAGCAATCGTGGAGGTCGGGGACGAGGCCGCAATCGCGGCGGTATCCGGTGTCAAATTTGTGACATACCTGGACACACAGCGCTGACATGCTATCAATGCTACTCCGACACCACCGGCAATCGAGTTGGACCAAGGATTTTGTTTTCCATAGAAGATGGGAAGAAAAAGTGAATAGATTGCCTATTTTACCTTTGCTTTCTTTTTTAATTATATTACTTTTATTAATTTGTAGGGGCATATAGGTCTTTATACTCATTATTCCTTACAATTCAAAATCTAACCAAACAATAGAATTAGTATTCCCAATAATTCTTTTTCCACCAACCAAACAATGAAATTCATCTTCCTAGTAATTATTTTTCCATAAAATTCCAATTCCACTTCGCTTAAAATATTTTCCGTGAACCAAACGAGCCCTAAAGTAATCTAATATTCCGCGAACCAAACAACCCCTTACTTTTACAAGTGCTCTGCATTTTATAGCAATATTACAGAGCGCAACTGAAAAAGAAAAGGAATATCAGGCGGCAAAAGCTGTGCAGAAAGTGACGTATAAAGGGAAAGAAAGCACCAAATCCAAGAAAATCCTAAAATTATGCGTTCAGTGGACTATCAATGTCCACATTTCTTTTTGGTTTGCTTACACATGAATAAGAGCAAATTACACTTTTGGTCCTGTGACTATAGGGGGTGTGTTAATTTGGGTATGTGACTTTTAAAACTAACAATTTAATCTTAACTATCATTTTTTAGCAGATTTGGTCCTCCCGGCCAAATTCCACCGGCAATTTGGCCGGAAAGACGTTCGACTTTTTAAATCAAATATTGGTGGGGGTAATTCGGTTCAACAATTAAAAAGACCGAATTACCCCCACCAATATTTGATTTAAAAAGTCGAACATCTTTCCGGCCAAATTCCACCGGCAATTTGGCCGGGAAGACCAAATCTACTAAAAAAATAATAGTTAAAGGACTAAATTGTTAATTTTAAAAATCACGTACCCAAATTAACACATCATCTATAGTCACAGGACCAAAAGTGTAATTTGCTCCCTGAATAATCACAAGAAAGTTGAGATTATTTGAAATAAATTTGGCATCTCTTCCCACAGTAAAACAGTTCGGGAAGGAGTTATTATGCAGGAAAAAAAGGCTTTAAGACTGAAGCAGGTAAAAAATCGAGAGAAAACATAAAATTTAATCACATAATTTCTCTTTTCCCAGACAAAAATCAGACAAAGAAAAATTTTTTAAAAAAATTAGAATTCTAAATTTTGTTGAAATTAAACCATTAATTAATTTCGCTTTTAAATTAAGGACTAAAGAATCAAATTTTCAAATTTATAATAATAAAGAAAAAAAAACACAAACAAAAAAAAAAAAAAAAAAAAAAAAAAAAAAAAACTGGAATAGGGGGAAAAATACTCCATTAAAGACCCAGATAAACCCACCTCTCTCTACCTTCAAAATCGGGCAAATTCTCTCCAAATGACGCTTCGTCACCCGCATCGCCGGCGGTATTGTGAACTTTGTTACTATTTTCCTCGAAAGCACCGCACTTTTCCGGTAAAATGTTCTCCTCCTTTATGACGCCAACCAAACACTCATTTTCCTCCTTATTCACTGACCCAGAAATCGCAGAACAGCCGTGTCTCACCCTCGAACTTGCTCTGGTACTCTGATTTTGTTTCGAGTTGGGGGCCAGGCTAGGGTTGGAGTCCTTCGGAGAGGGTTTCTGCCTCCGCGAGTCCAAACCAATTGGGGGTTTCTGCAGCCGCCGGCTTCGGAGCTGCAGGTAGGACCCACTGTCACCGGCACAGCAAATTTCATCCGCCGACCGGCGTAAGCGTTGTAGGGCTAGGGTTTTGGCCCGAGTACGTACCCCTGAAAACGATTGTGCGTGAGTGACCTCAAGGAGAGCCACCTCGCCCGCAGCTTTTGACTTCTTCATATACCTGCCCATCTCTCTTTCTCTCTCTAAAACTCCCTCCCCTGCCTCGCTAATCAACTCTCATGGATAAAATAATATACTCCGTATATACATATATATACAAACATACATGTGGGGGTGTATGGGTGTGTTCCTGTGTGTTAGTGTGTATCGATAGAGACAGCAAGAGAGAGGGAAAGAAGAGAGGATTTCAGTTATCGGTTGGAGAAGAGAAAGGGGAGGTGGGTTTAGCCGTTGATGGTTAGAGAGAGAGAGAGCACTTTTTTAAGAAAGACGAAAACGAGGAGATATAGGGCGATACCGATGCTAAGATGGAAATAAACAATTGCCCTAATGGGCTAAATGGCAACATAGTATTTTTTGTTTAACATAATAACATTTTACTGTGAACATGTGTCAGGGATTTTTAAAATTATAATATTATATAAACAAAAATGTATTTTTCATAGAAATAATGCTCAAATAGGTTATTGAATTACATATAAATATACAATTCGGGTATTAAATTCAAAAAAATAAATTAATTGGGTATTTGAGTCCCAAAACCACCTAAAATTATGAAAATGAATCAAATTTGACCGGTTTAATTTGTCATTACTAATGTGGCGGTTAACTTATTAAAAAATTTACTTTTTAAACATTTTAAAAGTAACTTTAAATTAAAAAAAACAGCATCCCAGCCTTTGTCTTCGGCTGGTGGTGAAGAAGTTTGCTTTTCTCAGTGGAATGAGAGAGGCCGCACATATACTTAGATTTGCTAACAGAAACCTTTTTTTTTTTTTTTTTTTTTTTTTTTTTTTTTTTTTTGAGGAAACCATTGTGGTTGCATTTATAGATAACATGAAACTGAGTCTGGTGGGATAGCATCCCAGTACATAGGCAAATCGAAATTAAAAGCATCAGAAGCTAAAGTATGCGCTAAATAATTCGGCGATCTAGGAATAAAATTAACTGAGCAATAACTAAATGTAGCCATATAAGCTCTGGAAGCATCTAATGCATAACCAAGATAGGATCGAGACTGAATCTCCGTAGAGGACAGATATGTCTGGTGTGTTTGACAGTCTGTGTATACTTCAACTGATGATTCTCCCCGTGTTCTGAGTCATGACAACACTTCTTTGCACGCCATAGTTTCTGCCATAAGTAGTGAGAAACAGTTGTGCAAGGGCGCACTGTAAGCCGATATATATTCTCCGTGTTCGTCGAACAAGATTGCATCGACTGCAACCGTGCCCAATAGTCGCATAAATCCAACGTCGATGAAGCAGTGGATGCGCGTCGACGCTACTGTTCCGGCAGCGTTGGTGGACCATCGCTGTACAGCGGGCGGTGACTGCATGGTGGCGCCGTATGTCTCGGTTGGAAACGGCGGACTGGCGTGGTGGACCTGCTGCCACGCTTGCATTGACGTTACTGCCATTGCCAGGTGTAACACCCCAGATTTTCAAAACTTTTAAAACTTATATAATAAATGTAGTACTATTATTAATGTCGAAATAGAACAATACTAAACATAAGAGTTCGGGGTGATATGCCACATTTGAGCTGGAGAACTCATATGCATAGGCTATACTAACTAAATATCCTCAAAGCAATGTCAATACATCACTATGCCACGCAGACCGAAACTATCTAAGCATCGGTCCTCTAGCGCGCTCCGGATTTACTCATCGGTTCCGGAAAGCCAAATATATTTGTTTAGCGAATAATGCTGGTAACCAACTCCAACGCGTTAAAATGCAAACTGTGGCCGAGGCGTGCCTCGGTCAGACTGTGGCCGAGGCGGGCGCCTCGGCCATCCGAGTCGAGTCACGTCTAGGCCAACCTGTAGCCGGGGCGTGCGACTCGTTCCTTTTTGTTTTTTTTTTTTTTCGAAACAACATGGGCCTACCACAAGCACGAGGTATTATTCCAAATGATTTCAGAATGCAAAGCGGGCGGACCGCGATTACCAAGCACTAGTCCCAAACGACTACTAGAATATTAAGGAAAATACTTAATCAAATGTTCCTAGCTCCATACCCGATCGATTATCCTTACAGATGGTGTGGACTTATGGATCATTTATGCCAATCTTTTTGCATGCTTTAACGTAACAACTGCGGGCCGCTCGCTGGTCTCCTTTGACGACCCCTATCCTGCTCGGAGTGGGGAACTTCATACACAAGTGTTCCACCGACACTATGGCCTTGAGGTTCTCCAGTGCCGGTCTCCCTAATATGATGTTGTGCGCACAAGTGAGTCTTACCACGATGAATTCCAAGACAAGTTTGCGAATGTTAGGGCTCGTGTCTATCTCCACTGGTAAGACCACTGACCCCTCTGTCTCCACTGAATCACCCGTAAATCCAGAGAGTGGGGTACGTACTTCTTTGAGCTGGTTCCTAAGTATCCCTAACTTGGTGAAGGCATCGTAATACATCACATTGACTGAGCTTCCCGTGTCGACTAAGATGCGGCGGACAATGACATCGTTGACGTCTATCTCAATTACCAGGGCGTCACGATGGGGTAACGGGCCCTCTGGGAGGTCATCATCAGAGAAGGTGATGGCCTCCTGTCTCTGTTTCTTTTCTCTAGGAAGACGCACAACTTCTCCCACGTATAGCTGCCGACTCCACTTCTTTCTTTCCGCGGGCGTGTCGCCCCCTGCGGGTCCACCATAGATAAAGTTTATGGTGTGCTTCTTTTGTCGTCTGGGCGCCACCTCGGTTTCTTTCTCGCTATCATTCTGCTCAAATATTTGGTCGTGTTCTCTTTTTTTGGCGTTCGAAGCGGACGGCTCTGTGCCATCCTCATTCCTCCAGACATTTTTTGGTGGATTGTGTTGCGGCTATTGCTGCTGCTTGGATCGCTTGACGAAATGTCGGAAGTAGCCCTGCTGGATGAGTTCTTCTATTTGTCTCTTCAAAACGTGACACTCATTCGTATCGTGGCCGGTTTGCCTATGGAACCTGCAGTACTTTGTTTGGTCCGCCTTCGGGGAGACCTTCATGCACTCCTCGGGGAATTCTACCATCCCCATCTCCTCAACTTGCTTTAGAATGACACTGACGGGATGGGTAAGAGGAGTTAGATTACGCAAGGGAACCAGGCGAGGTCGTTCATGGTCTCGGCCTTTCCCTGCGGTCGGGTGGTCCGAGAGTGGTGCCTGGCTGGGCGGACCTGCTTTCCCAGGCTTCCCACCTTTCCTTCCATCCTCTTCGTCCTTCTTCTTCCTGTCGACGTCCTCTGCTTCGGCATAGCGGCTAGCCGTCCTTATCAGATCTTTGTAAGTGCGGGGGTGGTGGGCGTTCAACTGCTTGTGGAAATACCCTGATCTTAAGGCATGGACAAATATCGGGATCGCCGCCTTGGAGTCGAAGTCGTAGATATTATTGACTTCCTTTTTCTATTTTATCAGGAAGTCTTTGAGGCTCTCGCCTCTATCTTGCTTCACTACACAGAGGTGAGAGAAGGGTTTCTTACGCTGTATGCTACCGGAGAAGTATGTCAGGAAGCTCTTGAACAACTCCCCAAAGTTTTGGATCGACCCATCAGGGATGGTGTTGAACCAGTCTTAGGCCGCTCCATCCAGGGTGGACAAGAACGCTCGGCACATGATGGCGTCCCCTGCCCCGATCATTACCATAGC